TGTGAAAAGGTTGCAATCTGTTACTTTTTTCTAAATTGACTATTTGGTAAAGCTTTGCCATCTTCAGCAGAAAGTCCGTGCTTCTGGTGTTAGGAGCATACATAGAATACTGGGAACCATAAAGAAAATCTTGAAGACACTCTCAGGCATACTTATTTTTAGGCTAGTATTGTACTTCGGTGGTCACACTTGAGAGGAGCTCTTACACAGTCTTTAATTAAAATGCATTGCCCAAGTTCTTGGTAGGTTACTGATTTTAAGCTCCTGTAATTGAAGATTGTGGAAATACATGCAAAGGTTTCAGTTTGTGTTTTATAGTAAGAAGTAGTTGACCAAATCTGCCCAGTTCTCCATAGGGATCTGCTCAATAAATTCTTATCAACAGAGACAAGAAAGAAAAACTGTAACAGATGGACTGTGGATTAATCCAAACATTAGAACAACCTACGATACAGTAATCAACAGCAAGTCGTCCTAGAAAGGGGTTGCACTGTTTTCACCCGAGATTTCCCCTGAGCTCTTGGTGCAGTTGGGTTCATTTTGATGACTGAAGCAAACCTAAGGAGACTTGCATTAAACACAAGATGTTTTTGTCAGTCTGGCGTGCCAAAAAGATGGGCAGGAGGTTCATGAGCAGGGTGCGGAAGACCAGGCAGTTTAATCTGCCCAGATTGGTAGGTTGTCTGAGGTGTATTGTGAGTAATAAGGTAATGATCTTTTATATTAAATATTTATACTAAAATAGCTCATTACAGAATAATTGTGCTGGGATGTTTACTTATAAGTTGGTTTCAGCAGTAAGATGTGTACTTTTTATTGATTATGTATACACCATTTGGTCAAAAACTATCCTTCAGTCCTTTCTGAACTAAAAGTTAAGATACATTTTATAGCATCTCTTAGCAGAAAGGGTTAACTACTTTTTTTTCTCCACAGTATTTGTGTCCTGAACTCCTGGGTTTTGGTTTTGAATATACTTGTTCGCATATACTTGTTTGCATATACTTGTTTATGAGACTTAGACTTATGCCAGTAAAAGTTTGTTACATCTAGGATTCTGAAAAGTGTAAGAAAGAAACAGGAGTCTGTATCTGAATTTTCAGTATTGTTTTTGTTCCCATGCCTGAAGAGTTTAAGTTGCATAGTCTTATGTTTGAATATCCAACTTCTGAATATTTCTTTTGCCTCTGTTTTTGGTCAAAACCTAGCTGATATTGAAAATAAAATAAGTCCCTGCCATTGTTTTAGGTGATTCTTGGATTTTCTCTGTTAAGACAATCAGGTTTTTTTACCTTTAGGGTCTGTGCTTATTTTAGCCAATACTCTATTAGACCAAATGGTGGTAAAACTAATATAAGACACTTCAAATGCTTCAGGGGGACTGTTGGTTTTTGTTTAGAAAGGATAAGTGATATATAACTGCTGTTTCTGTTCACAAACAATTTTTGCTGCTGTGCCTTTTTAATTTTAGGTATGCATTCTGCTTGTACAGTTATGCCCAGGAAACCTTTATCTGAGAGATTAAAATACAGTATGTCATGTTTTGGCTTGTCTCAGAAAGCTGATAATACCAGTTGCTTGGATATAAAGTCAGAGGAATTCTAGTCTAAGTATTTGATGTTAATTTTTACATTTAGTAACCACTGTGATTACTATATCTTGCTAATTGGCCACAGAATAAATAATGTTACTCTGCAGCCTCTACAAATGCAGATGAATCTTGCCGTAAATTTCTTAACCTGTAGAGATATGTGTACTGATGTGGAAATCTTTAATTATATGCTGTTTTGTTTTGGGGCAGGAATAGTTTCAAATCTGCAAATTCTCAATTATTGCCTTACAGTAAATAGTGTTTTTTGTTTTGTTTTAGTGTGTGGTGGGTTTTGTTTCCTTTGTTTTTAATTTTACTCCCATCAGTTCAATATCCAGAATATTGAAAAGGGGTGATGGAAGCTCTTTTGGAAGTCCTTTTAGGAAGTCCTTTAGGATGGAAGTCCTTTTAGGACTTCCTGCAGTTTCCTGATGAGCCTCTCTATTCTGCCTTTTGAGGCAATCGTTCACAGATGCAGTTCCAGCTGTGACATCCGTGTTGATGATTTTCCTTTCTCTGGATATTGCCTTTTCTGTGCAAATAGAACTTTTTCCAGTTTCTACTTGTAGGTGTTTGACCCTCTGTTGAAATGCTCTTCGACTGAAATGAGCCATTGTTTTTACAACCTCCCACTGTTTTTTCAACTCTACAAATGTCCATTCTTCTAATCTGGACTCCTTTGTGCTATCCTGGTTTTGTGCCATCTGTAGAGCTATGCTTTGCCTTTATCTTCAGGTTACTTTGTAGCACATGAAAATCAGGGTTTTTCTCATCACCACAGTACCAGCTCCTTCTACAAATAGCTGCAACTGTATCTGCTTAGGCGTCAGCAGATCTTGCTCGGTATCGTTGCATCCATATGGAGTGTAGGTGACACAGATTGCTGCCTTGCATCACCAGCGGGATTGCATAACCTCCTCCTTAAGTACTTTTCTGGATTTCTCTCCCAATTGAAATTAAATCATCGTTGCTTCACTTTCAGGAAGCTTTTTCTCCGTGTGATGCTTTCCTGAAGTGCTGATTTCTAAAATCACTGTGTAATTGATGCCATATTGGATTGTTGGCTGTGTGGGAATCAGCCTTGAAGGAAACTGCCTTAAAACACAGCAGACCTCTCTTATCTTCAGACAGATTGATATAGCAGTAAAAAAAAATAGCTGCTTGGTACATTTCTTGTCCATATATTGTGGTGTTTTCTTCCAGAATTTTGCACAATATTCTTCTGTGTGACTTTGTTTGGAGCCTATGGGGACAAACAGAGAGAAAAATGAATTCTTGAAGAAGTTCTTTTGAATGTTAAACAAATTCTTGTTCTCTAGGATATCTGTTAAATGGCATAGCAGTGTTGACATTCAAGGCCATATGTAGAAAAAGATTGAAAATATTTTCACCTTGACTCTTTATAAAAAGACTTGGTACTCAAAGCATATCATTTGTACCTTGTTCCAAATACCTTCAGTCATAGCCAGGGATTAATCAATTTCTCTGATAATAAATTCGTAGCATTTTTCAGGCTAGGTATGTTTTTTGTGTCTGGAAAAATGTAGGGCTCAGAAAGTACTGCAGTCTTCATGTGAAAAAATTGCCATTGTGAGAAGCTTGTGCATTTGAAAAAGTCCTATTTACTGTGTCTCAGGCATTTCTCAACCTCCATTATCTATCTTATGCTCATAGCTGTAAGGACACTGCACAAGTCAGATCCAGTTTCATATGACTTACAGTGATGAGCCATTCTATTTTATAAATATTAATAAAGTCTGTCTGAAAGGTGTGCTCAGAATATTGGCATGTGGTGAGTTATTGAGCTGTACTGATGACTAGAACTAAATGGTGCATTGATCTCGCTACGACACATTTCAATTAATGTCCTTCTTATTTTGCTTGTAATAGAAGCCAGCAGGAAAAAACCTGTTACTCAGAATAGGATAGCTGTCAGTAAGAATTTGTTAAACAGCAGATTATGTTGCACCCCAAGAAGTATGTGAGGGAATTTGGTAACTCCAGTAAAATGCACATCACAGAGCAGTGGAGTTTTAGAATTATGTGGCTGTAAGGTGTGGCTGTGTTGTAAGGAATTTTTCTGCCTTTGTCATATGAAGAATTTATTTTTTTTTAATGTTTTCCCTGGTGCTATGAACATGACTGTAGAAATATACCACAAATTGTTTTGATATTCCAGAGATGAGCTGCTACTGAAAGCTTGGCATTTAACTGATTTCCAGAATAATCCCTCTTGATGTGAGCTGGAGGATTTTCTTTAAAACAAGATATAAAGGTTATAAAAATTTGAATGGTGAGTTCTGTAAGGTAACTTGAGTTCCATATAATCTTTCAGCTCACTAATCTGAATTCTTTTTTGCTATGAAGAGAGCAGAGAAAACCTCTTAACAGTAATACTTGTTATGTACATGGAAGATCAAAATAATCGTACTGAAAAGTCCTTAGTGAATAATAAGAATTTTTTGGTTTTGAATTATTCTTGTGCTTTTGAGAAATAATGTTGAGCCAGAAAGATATATATGTATAAAATATATATGTATTTATTATTTTCATAATATGTCACAGAAATTTGGTCATAGATGTTATGAATTACACATTATTCACAGAATAAGAACAATAGAATGTGGACTCGTAGTGTTTAATCTTAGTCTCTGATAACCCCGAAACCACAGTAGAATAACTTCACTAGGAATCTTCTGATACATAACACAAAATGATTGTTTTGTGGAACTGTAATCCACTCCCTCTACAGTTGTTCTATGCACAAAAGAACATGGAAAAACAAGAAGAAATTGGCAAATAGTTGTTTCTTAAATATTTATTTTGAATGTGGTGTTAAAGTAATTTTGCTCTGTGGAATGTTTTCATAAAGACAGAATCAGTAAAAAGTGCAGCTCTGCTCTATATTCCCCCGTTTTGTTTGCTTCAGGTTCATAATTTATGCAGGCAAGGAAGTGAAAAGATGCTATTGGATATTTCTACAGGCAGTGATTGAAACTTGGTTATTTTTGATCTGTGCTTTCTCCACCCAGTAGCTGTTATCATCCACCACCATCCTCATAGCTGTGAATTTGTAACGTTGTACTGTACCTGCTACCCAGTTTCCCTTAAATATCTGTTAGCAGCTAGCAAGAGAAAGCAAGGCTTTCATCCTGTGCATTCCGAAAAGGAAAAATAAGGAAAACCTTTGCTTGCTGCTTTTTTTTTTTTTTAATTTAAATTCCTCAAGATTATACTCATTATTGTAATCACAGGTAGAGAGGGAATGTAAGAGGTAGAAAGCCGTGGAAGAAAAATAGCATCAGCTAGCAAGAATTTTGTTTTCCTGGTTTGTAAACGATGCTGCTGTAATTCTATCTGCATTTTTTTTTTCCTGCTCATTCACCACTCAGCAGCTGGTAGGGAATTAAGACTGCCTGGCAACCACCTGCAGAGCTGCAGAGATGAATTACATTTTCGGAAATAACACACTCCTCTATTCTCGCGCCAGTCGAGGCAACGCTGGCTCCAGCCACAGCTCGGTAGGCCCCAAGCAGAAGCAGTGGGCAAAGAAAGGCTCAACAGATGAGTTACGGGCTGAGCCTTCCCGGTGGCAGCAGCTGGTGGCATTTTTCACTCGGAGACATGGCTTCATTGACTGCATTTCTGTTGCTGCCAGCTCCACCCAGGTAATATGCCACATGTTAAAGTGATTGTGTCTGCATGTTTGCTGGTTACTTGCTAGTCAGAAAGAGCAGTTATTTATGTATGCATGATTTCGTGTAATCTCTTATTTATGGATGGCGTTTTCTGTCTGCTTTCATTTTCATATTTTAAAAAGCTCTGTATAATTTCTAGCATTAAAGCATGAAAATGGAAACACTAAATGAGGTCTGATTTTTATTTATTTTGCAAGTGATGAGCCTCCAGCAATTTTAAACATGAGATATCCTAATGAAACAGTGAAATACTGAAAATGTAGTTTGCATTCTGCTGCCTAGCACTGGAGAGCAATAACGTAGTTAAGAAATATCAATTCCATAGCTCTAGTAAGATGTCAAATCCAATGGACTGCGTATTTAATAGTTAAGGAATTTTATCTAAAGAATTAAATAATTGAAAACCTTAACTCTAGGTGACATAACAAATTCAGTTCTGTAACAGCTTTCTAGGTTTTTTGGCTACTAATAGTACACAGATGAAGGAATGTCTCCCTTACAGGGTGTACATTCAATAGTGCAGTCTGTAAGAAAAACATGACATTTTTCAACTTCTCTGTCCATCTGCTCTGTGTGATGTTTGTGTTAATTGTCATTCAAAGTCAGGTAAAAGCAAGCAAGCTAAATTTTAATTGTGTAGCTTTTAATGACTTCTTAAGATTGGCACTGAGAGAAGTTTAAACTTATTGGCATTAGAAAATTAGTATCTCTTGGGAAAATATGACTAAGACCTATGGAACAATGCTGACATGTCAGAATTATTTAAACATGGGAGATTAGGTTTGCTTTGCTACTGTCAAGTGAAATTCATCATTAGTCAAGATATCTTGAATGATTTAACCTGAAATACTACAAAAACTTAGAGGGAAAAATTTGTTACCCTCAGACACTGTAATTTTATTAGGACAGTTTCTATGTTAGTAGTTCAGAGATGGTAAACTGACACTTCCTCTGAATTCTGCTTAATATTACCTGGTTTTTTGCTTATGAATTTGGAGTAAACAATGAGTAGGAGAGCTTAGAGGGGAATTTTGACTTTCTTGTTGCATCTTGTACATGATGCAGAAGTTGGATCCTGTAGTTTCTCTAATGGGTCATTATACAACTCCAAGTGATGCATTAGGTAGACATAATAGCTTTTAAATACTGGGGGTTTTTTAAAGTAAAAATATATAGTATTCACCTTTTCAATAAAAATTATAGTTGCTTTCATTTGTTTAAAGCTTGAAGAAGTAATATTGGAATGTGTGAAGCTCGCAATTGGACTGACTAGTCAGGCCTAGAAATCTGCTCATAAATAAAATATGGAATACCCTCTGCTTTGAGTGAAGGTTGGACCAGGTAAAGTTCCTGAGATCCCTTCAATCCAAAGCCATAATTCTGTGAATATCACAGTGTTTGTTCTATTTTTCTGCTGTGGAGAATATTGCTTACCTCTGGGAAAGCCTGCCAGATTTTTTCATAGCTCTGACAGTTCTTCATTAAAAATAACTGCTTATATATGTTCATGGCCAGAAGGAGGGAAGAAAACATAAAATATTTTGAAGTGGTTGTTAAAAAAATCTTAATGAGCATATTCAGAATTCATGCACTAAAACCATAAGAGCTTGTTGAAGCCACTTCCTCTGAAAGGATGCTGTACTGTGCTCACACCTTATCCACCCATTGCAGCTGTTCTAGCCTCGGGAGACAAAAAGGCATTTGGAGGTTGTTCACTGTGGTGCAATTTTGTTTTTCAGTTCTCTTTAGTTTGTGTTCTGTGTTGTAGCATTCTGAACATTTTTGTTACCTTTTATTTGTTTGTTTGAGATCCATCCCCGTCATTTGAATGTAATCACATTTGCAGAGTCCAAATAAGTAATTAGATGTGAAGTACTTCTCTAACCTGACCTGTAGAAATTCTGTGTGTGATCGTGGGCTTTATCAAGTTTTATTGTTGCGACATCATGATTTGTAACAGATAAAAAATCATTTGGTGGTTTTTAAAGTTGCTGTCTCCTGCTTCCCCTGTGAATCTGCTACAAAGCCCCCAGTTTTAGCTGTCCCTTCATTTCCTTGACTTTCTTGGATGGCATAAATTGGTTATGCTAGCTTAATTCCCTCCATCTGCAGTAGAAGAGAAATGACTCCCGGAGGTGGGACATGCCTGTCCTTCTCTGGGACCTGCTTGGGTCACCCTCGCCCCTGCAAGGTGGTAAGAGGACTTTGGATTTTGAGGTAGGGTATTTTTTGAGTAGGGTCTTGTATCCTAAAGAAGCAAGGCTGAAGTTGATGATGGATATGGTAGCAGTGCTTTTTGCTGTAGTTATCCCTTGGTTTATGCCCAAATGAATGCACACATGCCCAAATGATTGGTGCCCAGCTAAGCACACCAGACTTCTTTATGGGTCCTGGAAGCAGATTTAACGTGTTCAGGATTTCAAGGCCTTTATTGTTTCTTCCTTCTCATTCTCTGTGATGTTGTGTTAATCACTCAAATAGAAGAATTAAGGAATTTGATTAGGAGCTGATATATCAATTTTTTTCAGGAAGTTGTAAAATGTTTTTAATAAAAGCCAAATCTGTGGTATAAAATGGCAGGTAACATTAAAACCAAGCATACAACAAATTTATACTGTCACAAGGGTGAATAACTGTGCCACGAGCTTAGTAAATATACCATTATGCAAGTGACAAATACTGGTAATTTGAAGTGCTAACAAGAGATATGCGCAGTGCATCAAGGATGATACCTGCATCAGGATGATTGCTTTTTCTCTGAACTCTTTCCAGAGCTCTGAGAAGCCCCTGTTCTTGCCAGTCAATCCCAGGTCTCAGAAAGCATTTTAACTGTTGGTATTTGGCCCGTGATGTGCTACAAATGCAGAAACTGACACATGTCATTAAACTGGTTCTAACAGCAATCACTGAGGCTTTTCTTAGCATGTAACTGAGCATACCCTTGCAGCATGTGATACTGAGAAATTGTTTAGCTCCTTGAATATCCTGTGCTCATTTTTACTTCTATTTCTAGGACATCTTTTTAGGAAAGATGAAAAGGATCAGGACAGAAAAATAATCCTAAATCCACTTAGCCATTTCAAAAACTTAATTTTAAATTTCAGAGCTTATCAACTGCTTTTGTGAGTTGTTTGAGCCCAGTCATTTCTCGACTTAGTGTATCTTCCTTTTAAGATCTTGATAAAAGTTTTACTGTGTCATTAGTCCTAGACTGTTGCTCTCGGAGTCATTGGAGTATTATGGACATAGTTCTAGGATGTACAAAATGCTATGTCCAATCACATGATGTAGAGGTGTTATAAGGCAGTAAAGAAGATGATTTAAAAAAAAGTCAGGTCTCTACCCTAATCCCTCTTTTACTGTACTTTATGAAAAACTGATTTCTTAGTGCAATATTTATTATTCTTCCTGTATTTTGATATATATTGAAGTATTTATATATTGTTGTTGCTAATATTGTGATGAATGCAGGAGAAAGCAGCTTTAAATAGTACACGCTTTGGATGATTTCTCTGTAACAATGCACCTTCTGAAGCTGAAGAATGAGTTTTATTGTACTGTTTCCTTCCTATTCTTGATTTTAAGCTGTTAAAATCACATAGTTGTAAAAACATGAGTTTATTTTGCAAATTAGTTCTGCCAGTGGTTGCATTTTCTGTAAGATGGCATTGTAGCAGTGATAAAAGCAGTGTGAATTTATTCTGCAAGAGGAATGCATTAATATGTGTTCCAGTCAATAGGCCAAAAAGCAGGAAGTTCTTGGTAGTTTAACCAAAGCATCAAAGGAGTTTCTCTGGAACCTTTGGTTCATTTTGTAAACATTTTCTGTGTACAGTAGAGACAAAAACTTCTCAAGACTGTGAAATGTAATTGACATTTTAGAGATAGGCAATTTAAAAATCATAATAGTGTCAATAAATTTTAGGAATATCTGGCATGAGCCATGTAAAGCCATGTAGACTTTGTCAGCATCCTGCTGTGGCTCCCTGCTGTGGGCAGTGGTCCCCCTCTGCTGGGACCAGGCCAGTGCAGGGATGGGGCTGTGCTGCTTCCCTCCAAGCCCTGCGTGTGACTGCAGTGCTGGCATGTGCAGGTTGTTACCTCAGCTAATCACCTGCAGCACGGCAGTGCTGATAAGAACTGAGGGAGTGGTGATAAGAACTGAGCCGTGCTCCAGCTACCTGCAGGCACTGCTTCCTGCCAGAGGGGTTTGCGGTCCACCTTCTCTTTCCTGGTCTCTCACAACTCCCTCTCACTCAGAGTTGGTAACATAATTTCTTCATATTTCTGTTGCATTGTATCTCAAGAAAATTACTTTTTCCATAATGAGTCAGAAATCTGGTAAACAAAGAAAGAGACACAGAATTTTTTGCTTTTGGAGTTCTGCTGCTGCTACTACTGGGGCTTTGTGCCTGCACTGTGCTCAAGAGTCTGAATCTTCAGGCAAGGCAGACACTGGATCCCCTCTTAATCCATTGTCTTCAGCTAATAACTCACGTGGACTAACAAGGTCTTGCTGTATGAAACCCAGTGCATGGAAGCCTGTGAAAAAGGTAGGACTCTTTAGGGCTTTATATAACTTTACTAATTTATTTTATATTGTGATGCCCTCACAGTTGAGGCTTGTGTTGATCGACAAAGTGTTTTGAAAGTCAAATACAGGCCAGTCTGTCTTTCACCAGCTGTCAGCTTACTGAACAGCTCTAGCATGGCTCCTGTAGTATAGCATTTCTGTTTTGCTGCCAAAGCCTCTGTACATGTTTCAGCTAATACAATTATTAACTAAATTACTGTCTGACAGAACCACTGAATCTAAAGTGAAAATCGTCTTCTTCCTGTTCTTCTATTTTGGTTCACAACATCAAGAGCACTCTCAATTATGATTAAGATGGGCAGGATAGTTCCTTTACTTTGAAGACTATAGCTCAACAGAAGCTTCTTAGATGTTTTTAGAAAACATGACCTTGTCT